GTGTGTGTGTGTGTGTGTATGTGTGTGTGTCTTCATGGCTTTCCATGATTTTTTACGTGAGAGATTACAGTACTGATTTCCCGTTGACTTCTGCCTGTTTGTGTCAGTTTTCACTGCTTGCCTTGTTATCCACTATCTACCCATAATGCACTAAACCAAGCAATAAACACCAAGTCACGTGACTGGTGACCTTCTAAGAAGATTGTTAACCCAAACACCTATCCATTAATATCCTCACCTCTGGGAAGAGCGAGAAGCCCTGGTTGCCGTGTCTGTCCAGCATGTCTAGTGTGAGCGGTGTCCTCTGTGAGAACGTGAGGCTCCCATTGGTCAGATGGCTCTCGAAAGACGTGTTGGGGTCACGACCTTTGCCCTTTTCCGCCTCCCCAAACCCCGCCTCCTTATCGTCCGCGCGGACACTGAATGTGGACAGTCCGTGCATGGAGACTTTGGACGTGTCCTGAAGTCTGTGGTGGTCGGGTGTCGGAGTTTTCGCTTTAGGCGCGGGTTCGGGTCCTCTTCCCATGTCCGAGCGCCGGAGTTTAAGGATAATCGCGATGACGATGATCGCGATAACGACTGTGATGCCGGCGATGATTCCAGCGATGATAACATATTTCTGCTCCATGGCGTTTTCGTCGCTTAGCAACGTGGCGTTGGTGAAGTCGATGTTGATGTAGAGGAAAGTTTTGTTGTGCATGCGGGGGTTCCCGCTGTCCTGTACTGAGATGGTCAGTCTGTAGGCCGTGGTACGGGTGGTGGTCAGTCTCTTGGAAATAAATATGGCGCCCGTAGCGTTGTCAATGCTGAACGCTTTATGAGGGTTTCCTTCTGCGATGAGATAGATCAGTTTAGCGTTTTTGCCAACGTCTTCGTCTACGGCTACAGCTCTTGCAATAACCGTTCCTGGTGAGAGGTTTGCACTGATTTCAATAGAATCGTTACCTGGGACCGGGAATCGGATTTGAGGGGCGAAATCGTTGGCGTCGCTTATGGAGATAGTGAGGGTGGAAGTACTCGACAACGGCGGCGTTCCTAGATCGTGGACGGCCACAACGATAAAGTAATGAGCGACAGTCTCGCGGTCGAACTTACTCGTGGTGGTTATCGTGCCCGTGTCCGATACGAGGAAGCCTAATTCAGGGTCGGAGACGAGTTCAAACCTCATATCCCCGTTAACGTTTTCGTCGTCGTCTGACGCTAAGATCTGAGCCACGAAAGCTCCGGGTTCCAGATTCTCCTTCACTTGGTACTCCGTTCTGATGATTTCAGGGGTGTTGTCGTTGACGTCTGCCACAGCTACACTGACCACTGCGCTGCCGGTCAGCGGTTGGTCTCCTTTGTCCACTGCCAGGACGGTGAGTCTAATGACCGGACCAGACTCTCTGTCCACCGCCGCCGTCTGAGAGATGACCCCACTGAAGGGGTCAACCGAGAAGGAATTACTGGAGTTGGCCGTGAGGTGATACGTGAGCTCGCTGTTTGCCCCCTCGTCTGCGTCCGTCGCCGATACCCTCACAACGTTTGTCTTTCTCGTTCTTCCCTCTGTCACGTTACCGAAATACTCAGGTTTACTGAAGATGGGCGAGTTGTCGTTGGAATCAGAAATGATAACGGAAAAATTTCTGAAAGCTGATAATCTCGGCGTTCCTCTGTCTGTACATTTCAGAATGACCGTCATGTCATTCAGAGACAGGGCCTCTCTATCGAGCGGTGTCTTGATCTCGATTTTATATTCCCCTGCACCGTTGAGGGCCTGCAGAGAAAAATGAATATTCATAGATTCACACATGACTTCTCCGTTCTCCCCTTCATCTGTGTCTAGATACTTGAGTGTCCCAACAAACGACCCTATAGGAAGGTCTTCAGAGAGAATTGTGCTATCTTGGTTGAGTGGTTCTGAGAGTGTGAGTTCTAGTTTAGGAGGTGTATTCCCAGCGTCCTTGACATTGATCAACACGATAGCCTGGGCCGCACGCGGTGACCCCCCGTGGTCTTTTGCTTCCACAACTGCTTGGAACTTCTCCCCACTCTCGTACTGTAGCGTGTCCTTGACCGTCACGTGACCCGTAGCGTTGTCCAGGGAGAAAAACTGGAGGAATTTCCTTGCAGTCAGCGAGCTGAAGTGGTAGGTCACACGCCCGTTCTCGCCCGCGTCCCGGTCGGAGGCTACAACAGTACCCACTAGGCTGCCCCTCGCCGCGTTCTCCTTGGCCGTGAAGTTGTACGTGGCCTTGCTGAACACGGGGCTGTGGTCATTCATGTCCGTCACGGTGATGGTCACCGAGAGAGTTCCTGTCAAGGCAGAGGTGGTGTTTCCGTCTTTGGCGTAAATCTCCAGCTCGTAGTTGCTCTCCGTCTCCCGGTCTAGTGTTTGGAGCAGCACGATCTTCAACACGGACACGTCTAGAAGCTTCTCTTCCCTCAAGCCGAACACGTCGTTGTCAGACATCCAGTAGGATATCTCGCTATCTATGCCGGCGTCTCTGTCTATCGCACCGGTGATTGAGATCTCACTGTCTTTCGGCGAGCCTTCAGAGATGCTCAGGGGCAGTTGTGAGTTTGGGAACTCGGGGGGATTATCGTTCACATCCTCGATTATAACGACAACCTTCAGAACTTTAATCACGACGATCTCCAACTTCACTGTGACGTCAAACTTGAGTGGACACGTGACCGCTGTCGAGTCACAAACGTCCTCTCTATCGATCATAGCGTTTGTCAAAAGAGTGCCAGTCCGGCTGTTGATGGTGAATAGAGAAGAAATTATCCGGCTGTTTGAACTCAGGATCTGATATCTCAGCTGGTTAAATTCTTCTGTCGTCACTTCTGACCTGATCCCACTCGCCTCCGCCACGTTTCCCACACGAGTGTCCGCTTTGAGTTCTTCCTTCAGAGTAAATACGATGTCTCCGTTCCCTGTCTGAGCGGCTGTTAGAGCGAGACAGGCGGCTAGCAGGAGACATCGCACCAACAGGGAGGAGAAGGAGGAGGAGGAGGAGGAGGACTTGTAGAAAGACAACCAGCGGTCGGCCACCCTTACAGACATTCTAAAGCTGCCCCTTCTTCTTCTAGGGGTGAAAATCGTTTACTGAAGTTGGGAAGAGCATTGGCCTATAGGGAAGTTCTCGAGTAAAGCCCGCATTCTCCAACACAATTCTGTGAACAGAAAGAGTATGAGAAAAGTTTAAAATCATCAGATAAACGATAGTAATTACATTCTCCTACACCAACAACGAGCTATAATTATCAGTTCTTTATCACACACCGACTAACAGGTACAATCACCAGTTAATTCTCAAACTGACCCAATGCTTATAATAAGCAATACTTTCTTACACTGCTCGACAGTGTGTGGTAAATTCTCTCGCACAAAACAAAAGCTTAGAATAAAGTCTTTCTAACACTGTCCAAAACACAAAGGTAAATTCTCTTACACAATGCACAAAAATTAAAGCTAGCTAATTCTCTCTAATGCTTCATAAAAGCTAAGGATAAGTTCTCTCTACCACTCTGGGTATAAATTCTCATACACTGCACAAGAAATACAATTTACTTTCACAAATACAATGAAAACAAAAACAGACAGGTTTTTTTCACGTCAAAACAGAAAGTGACTATCAGCCAGAGGGGGGAGTTTGGAGAGGG